AATCATAATTTTAGTAGATTATTTAACTTTCACATCCCAATACTTCAAACACTGTAAATTCTAATTACTTATTGGACTCTTTTTGGCATAATAAATATATTTAATCACATTAGGAATTACTCCATAAATTATAAAAAGCATTAATAATTTTACAATTAGTCATACCATCTTAGTTAAAATTAAACATAAAATTAAATTAAGAATCTGGGGATATAGAATACTAAAATAATTCTTTGGAAGTAATTACATAAATATTTGGACTTATTGTAATTGGTATATCAAAATCCACAAATTAGTTATTTAAGCTACTAAAATTTTAAAATGATGATGAAAATAGTGTAAGTATTGAATAATTCTAAAAATATTAGGCATATACAATAAATGTATTTGTTCCATTAACAATTGATTATATTTTAGTTGAATTAGGTAAATTTGATGATATTTATTTAGCAGGTTTTGATTATTAATCTATTATTTGAATTAATAATAATTCATTGTTGTAATAGCAATCTACCAAAATTGTCTAATTTTAAAACAAATCGATATTAAAACAATTATACAAAGGATCAATAGATACAGATAAGCCAACTTATTGAATCATTTAATTCTTCCATTCATATATAATTACTTCATTATTATTAGATAATGTACCAAAATGTGTATTATTTGACGATATTGAAATAAATTCTATAATAATAATCTTAATGACTTACAATTCCCTTTTGTTCGGTATATTTCTTCACATTAATTGATTACTTTCACATTTGGAATTTAAGGATGCATTTTGCACATTAATTAAGATGATATAATACTCTCCATATAGTATTCATAAAATTCTCCTACAGTTGGGTACAAAGAAATTTCATGCTCTGAAATGTTATAAGAATAAATGTTGATGACATTGATTACTAAGATTAGGATCATCTATGTTATCGAATAAATATTTATTAATTTACATCTTTTATAGAATTGTGATACATAGAAATCTAATATTTATAATGATCTTACAAATTACTATTAGATTTATTATCTATTTTCATTATCCAACCAAATGGGCCATATTCATAATTAAATGGAGAATTCGAAAAAAGTAAAGAGTAAATAAAAAATTAATAAGATTATCAATTTGATTATCCAATAAAGTCAATAAATACTCAGAATCCTAATTTAGCTTTACTTATTTTTGAAAAATGATAATATTATATTCGAAAAATAGAAGATGAATAAAATTTATTATTTATTAATTTTTATAATAAAAAATAAAAGTAATAAGTATGGATAAGGCTTTAATTTAATATAAGACAATTAAATCAAAGCCTTATCCTTCTATATTTAAGCCGAATTCTTATAATGAGAAGATGTTGATTAATTTCTCATAATTTTCTATTTTATCTTAATTCCTATGGCTATATATTTTTACTCATCCAAATCACCCAACAGACGATTAGGATATATGGTTGAACAGTATCGACTTTTTGGTGTCATAGCTTATGTAAATTCAATAATAGTCTTAATGATTTCAGTTGATATTTATTCGTTATGATTACATCACAAAACAATCTATCTCTTATCCCTAGATACCCCTAAAATATTGTATCAAAATGATATTAAGGAATTAGACTATCTTACTTTGATGCCAACATTAGTATTGGACAGGTGATTTTTTAAATGTAAGGCAAATAGACCTTATTAATATGAAATTGGAAAAATCTAAATATTGCATCTTGAATTATTTAGATTTTATACTTCTTATCAATTGATACAATCTTTTATTTATTATATTTGAAGTGCGTAGTTTTAGTTTCATTAAATTTATCACTACATCTTCCAAAATAAAAATGGACTATCTAAAACAAAACATTGTATATACTCGTTCTTTGAGTTTACATCATCAAGGCTATCGTGGCTTCCATCGATTTTGCCAACAAAATAATAAAATCGTTTTATTTTTTTAATAAAATTGCTTAAATCAAAACTTATTTTGTCAAATAAGAAATTTAATATATATTTTAAGGAGATATTCTTCAAAATGATTAATTATGTATTACTAGAACACATATTTTTACACAATCTTTTTCGCTTACATCAATAATCTGACTTCTCAATTTTGCATATTAATTTTAATTTTTCACTTAATACTTTTGCATTCATTTAATGTCGTTGTAGATATTTCAGTCGTTTTATCCCAATTGGTTGTTTTTTTTTCATAACTTTTTTTTTAATAATTCACATCAGTTTATTTTTTGGAAGCAAAAGAACTAGAAAGTTATGATATTAGTATTGAGATCTAGAGACCTTGGATTCTTGGGGGTTATAAATATTTAAATTGATTTATAACAAATCTTTGTATCCTAAACGAAAATATATTTAGAGTAGGAATAGTGTGGTAGGCTATGGAATCACCTTTATATTTGTTATGGCTTTGACTGTTTATTCATTTAAGACTAAAAATTGTTTATCATATGGAGGTATTTATTCTGACATTTACAATTATGTTAGTTTTAATAGTAGTATATCCAAACTATGCTCTTTCAATTTTTATGCAATCTGTTTATAATTTGAGAATGTTCTTTTGTTATTGGAAACAGAAATGATTATTGATGATGAAATGAGAAAATTCGTAAATTCTAGAATCTATAATTAAAGATTGAAGTAGGATAATTCTTATTGTATGCATCAATAATACTGTTGCTATGGAGGATAATGACTTTGACAGAAAAGGAATATATATCTTTATTTCAATAGAGTTGGAAGAATAGTTAGAGAGTGTAGCGAAACAATATAAATTGGTAGATTATCAGGGTAAATTTTTTCACATATTTAATCATAATTAACGTACTATGATTCATAGATTGATTACTAAGAATATTAAGTCATCAACGTGTTTATATAGTTTGATATTCAGGTAAATACTAATATTTCTAATTAATTATTCACATCTTTTGATTTCTAGTCTAAGATTTACAAGATGTAAGTAAATAATTTATGACATCACATTATTAATTATCATCTGGTAGATACTAAAAATTAATAGATCAATCAATCATAAACTCAATAGTCATTTGCAAAGGTCCAAACTTTTGGATTGACCATATATTATAAAAAATAATATTCTATTTATTAAAAAATTTCCAATTACTTTTTTGCAATAAAATTTGATGAATCTGTGAAATTAATTATTGAACAAAATTATCCATGAGTATTTACTTTAGAATAAGCTTATAAATTGATTTACTTTTATTTAATTTAGTCATATGTATGTATCCATTTTAGATTCTAACAAAGACATATATACTTAATTGATAAATGCACTAACCATAATTTTAGTAGCTCATAAATCTATACTAGTCATTCAACTATATCTAAAACAGTTCACAGATTCTTTTTCTCAACAATCTTCTATGACTGTTATAATTTACATACTTTTCTTGATATGAACAATAAATTTCTTTAAAAAATTCTCTATTACAAATGCTTTATATCAATTTTAGAAGGTTAAAGAATAAAAAGAATGAGTGGCATAAACTTGATTAACTATTTGAATTTATGTAAAAAGAACTGAATTTATTTATTCAATAGAAATTAGTCTTAAGTACCCTCAAGTATTATTATTCTCCATTAACATTCTTTTGCATTAGTTTAATTTATACTTAGTGACAGAGATACCTCATTACAATAATGGAGAAAATATAATGTAAAAAAACATTTGAATCATGTTATAAGGATGGATAAAATGTAACAAATTTATGGATAACTTATCGCACATTATATACTCCAAGTTGATTGGTTTCCTTCTATTGTTCCTAATAATAATGTTTGAAGATTTTTTTTTACAATGTTTAGATTATTCTTAACCAAATTATAAAAAAAAT